CGGGACCATTCACAGTGGAGCTTGGTTAAGACGTCGGCTGTGCTCAGGCCCTTTCTGAACCCGAACTGTTTCGTAGAGATGACATTGTGGGACTCCACGAAACTGGTTATCTGACGATTGACAATTGTTTCCATCACTTTGGATATGATAGACAGCAGAGACACAGGTCTGTAGTGTTGAGGCAGGTTCTTGGATTTCTTCTTGTGAATGGGTGTGACTCTAGCTGTCTTCCAGGATGTTGGCATAACCATGCTGTAGAAGCTAAGGGAGAACAGTTTGGAGAGTGGCTTACTTAGGGGGTCGGCACACATCTTCAGAACTCGCGCGGGAATGCAATCCGGTCCAGTAGCTTTCGATGCATTTAGGCGCCGGAGTTCTCTCTTGACAGTGGCAGGGCGGAACCGAACCGTTGAGAGCTTTTCAGCCGTGCGCTGAGCAACGTGGGGGAAATCAGTCGCTGGTTGGTTGGCGGGGAAGTCGCCGGCGCCCAGGCTGCACTTTGAGGCGAAATACTGCCCAAAACACTCAGCTTTTTCGGCATTCGATACGCATTCCAAACCAGGCTGCGGCGTAAGAGTTGGGATGGACGTGTTTCTGCTGCTGCCACCTGCTTGCTTGATGGTAGACCACCACGAGCGGTCACTCAGGCTAGCTTTGGAGAGCTTAGTACGCAGGGTAGCCAGGCGGGCCACCTTGGCATGCTGGAGGATGTCATTACAACGTAGAGTGGCTGCTGAGGCTGTCTGCCGCGCTGCTGTTGACTTCTGCCGTCTGGCAGTAGCCCAAGCCCTCTCTTTTGCTTTTATGGCATCCGTGCACTCAGGGGTCCACCAAGCTGGATCCGTCGGCCGGGATGTGAGTTGCCGGGATGGGATGAAACGTGACATACCCTGGAGGATAACTTCGGTGATGTTGGCGCACGACTCATCAGCGCTGGTGGTGAAGGCAGTTGACCAGTTGACCAGGCTAGGAAAAAGTGACAGAGGCGGTTCCAGTCTGCTTGGTTGTACCGCCAGACAGTGCGTGTGGTTTTTGGTTCACGGAACGCAGAGATAGGGAAGTCCACGGTGAGGACAGCGTGGTCAGAGGACCCCAGTGGGGCATGGCATTTCACCTGAACCGGTTCACTGAAGTCAGACATCACAAGGTCCAGGGTGTTGTCTCCACGTGTGGGGATGTTGACATGTTGCTCCAGGCCATGAACATAGCAGAGTTCCTCGGCTGCTTCTCCTGCCGAGGTAGTCTTGGTGCTCCCTAGCCATGCTGCATTGTGGACATTGAAGTCCCCTGCGAGGATAACATAGTCACCGTGGCTGCGGGCCTCATCTAGGTGGGTATCAAGGTATTCGATCAGCTCGGTGTCTGTCCCGGCTGTGGAGCCTGATCGGTAGACTGCACAGATAACAATCTTGGACCGGCTAGCTGTTGATACAGATATCCATATCACTTCGTGGTGTTCCGTGCTGAACCGGTCCAGGTGCTGGAAGGCCATGTTTGATTTCACCCAGATGGCAACTCCGCCTCCATGAGCGTTTCGGTCATGTCGGATTGGGGGAGCGTATCCGGACAGACAGACCTCACTGTCAGTGACCTTTGCGGTTGAGAATTTTGTCTCCGTAACAGCGATGACATCAGGTGAGGAGCACTTTGCAACATGTGCAAGTTCACCAAGCTTTGACTTTAGGCCAAAAGCATTGGTGAGTAGGAGCCTGAGGAAGCGCTTCATTGGTGACCATGTAGGTCATGTTGTGGCGCAGATCCGTTTGATCTCTTCAGGTCTCCAGCCTCTGGTGGGGAGAGGTGGGAGTTTCTCCGTTTTTGGCCACCAGGCAGTGGAGTGGAGATGATGTCTGCCGGTGGTGGTGGCGGCGGTGGTGGCGGCGGCGGCGGCGGGGAGGAGGTTGAGCCCTGCTGCTGTTGTTGCTGTTGCTGTTTAGTCAGAACACTGGCAGAGGTGTTGTTTCTGCTACTGTGGCAGCGACTGCTGGTGCTGCCCTCAGGGCTGGTTTCAGAGAACCTCCATGGCCTGCAGTATAGGGGTCTTGGCCAGAAGTTGGGCGCTGTAACTGTGGAGAATGAAGTGGCATCGATGGTCACTCTGGCGGAAGCACGCCCACTTTCTGACAGCCATACACTGCAGGTGTGGACAGGAATAGAGGCGCCCAGAAACTCACTCCTGGTTTTGATAAATTGCCTGAAGTGGCTCTCAGTGCTATCTGTGGCGATATTGCCCACGTACACTACGGCACGCTTGTTCTTGGGTGGTTCTGAGGAGACAAGCTTCCATGAGTCATCCTCGATAACATGGAAGATTGGCTTGCCGTTGGACTCTGTCACATCTGTCTGAGACTTGGACTCTGTCACATCTGTCTTGGGCTGTGACTCAGAACACTCTGCCTTTGCCAAGCCACCGCTTCCCTGGGCCGGGCCGTGGGGCTTTCGATCCGCGCTTGTGACGCCAGTACGTGATACGGTGCTGCTGGGTTCCATGTGAGCTGCAGCTTGCTTGGCGCTGCGTTTGCTGGCACGGGTACTACCGGTACTACTTTGCGTACGATGTACGTCTGCTTGAACTGGTGAGCTGTTTCTCGTCGTCTTCGACTGCATCCAGGCAATGGCGGAGTTTTTTGAAACAACTAACTCTTCCTTCAAATCTTTTACTTCCGCTGCCAGCTCACCAATTTTGCGTTTCATACGCGCTTCGCGATCAGCAGACTCGGTCGCGAACTTTGCCAGCGTTTGCATCACTGCAAGAAGACCCTGCTCAATCCCCGGGAGGGTGCAAAGCAGCTTCGTCACGGCCTCAGCAGAGAGCTCGCCCATGGCGAAGGGTTCCTGCCTGGCCCTACCTAACTATCTAGACTATCCTACACTATTTCTACTACTACTACTACCCACCTAGCTATCTCCAGTCCGGCCTGATGCCGGCTGGGATGTCCAAAAAAACGAAAAGCTACGAGCTTGAAAAACGCGTGCCACACTCGTAGCTGCAAAAAAAAAGGTTAAGTTACACGTGCGACGTGACGTGAAATTTTGCCTGGCAGGATTCGTGTTTAGTTCACACAAATATCAAATCTTCCAACAAACTTGATAAATCTCGATAAAATTCCGGAAACTCACACAAATTCGGTCGGGATAACCAAGCGGAACTTCCAAAAACTCACGTCATGAACTTACGTGCGGGACAGTCAACTCGCGTAAAACACGTCAAATTTTACGTGAGTTTTTTCAATTTTTGACGTAAAAGTTCACGGACGTAAGACTTTTACGTGAAACTTAACCTCTTTAATATATGCACGTACGCGTTGCTGGGGCCCCCATAGTATCCTGCTTAGAACTGTTAGTGTTGGACAAACAACGGATAACTATTACGCGTTCGGCCCTCACGTCTTGTACACGTACTTGTAAATTGTGTGTTTCTTATGGGTGTGCGGATAATGCTCGAAAAGGTGGCAGATTCTGCTCGAAAAGCTGTGAAATTGGCAGAACCATACAAACCTTATGGCGGGCAATTCCTCGAATTCTGCTCCATTTCTTTATCCACATACCAAACATGCAACCCTACCCTACATTTCCACAAAAGTGGCATGATACTTCCAAGTACTCAAATGGCCCAACTTCTGCGAAAACCAGGCTTAGGGTGAAAATCATTTGTTGGAGAAAAATAAATGTTTTTAAAAAGGTGGTGTCGCGTGGACGCTCGAGTGCAGTGAAGTGGAACCAAAGAGAATCTAGCTTGTTTGAAGAAGTAGCAGTCAAGGCCTTAGGCCTGTGGGGATTGCCCTATCAAAAATTTGATAATAATAATAATAATAATATGGCAGGAAGGGTTTCAGCAGTCAGGGAAGTCAAAGGGCTTCCGGTAGAATATTCCCTGCTACTCCTTTAGTCTAGTAACGACGAAGAGTTTTTGAGCTGATCGAACGGATTCCATCTCCTACACTCAGGGATGGCGAAATTTCTGCGCTAGCTGCTGCTTGCGGAAAATGGTGAAGAAATCGTCTCCAGCTACAGTCGTGATGGCGATAGCGAGGAGAACCTGGACGACATCGATCCAGCCAATCGAAGTACGGAGATACTAGCTGTTTCTGGGCCTCACACAAAGGGAGCACGCGCAGCAGAGCTCATAGTATCCGTTTGCAGCAAGTTCACGAGGAAAAAGGCTTGAAGCGCAGTGTGAAAACTGTTTTGAATTGAAGTCCATGGCAATGAAGTGCTACTGAATGCCAGGCGAATGAGCGAGCAGATCTAGAGGCCTCCACTCGAGACTTTCCTCACAGGACAGCTTGCTGCAAGGGATTGCATTTACCAATAGCAGCACAAAATTAGGATTAGGATCATGAATTTCTAGCATTTTCCATGCCGTCTACGTAGAACTACGAAACGTGCACAATACTACCCAAACCAAGCCAGTTTCCATACTTACTACTGGTGAATTGCTGGCATTACAGAGGAACAGCAGCATTATAAGTATCACTATTATACAGTTTTTCTGTGATTGCCATTAGCATTATCCCGCAAAATAACTAGCACTATCCGCCCAGGCCTAGCCGGCATTATCCGCATATGCCTAGACTGTTTCTGCAACTCAGTCATACCGTGAGGGGTGAAAACATACCAGTCCTTTGAAAGTAGAGAGACGGCGGCTAACAAAGCACCTCTACTAGGGGTCGATAGAGGTATGTGCCGCCCGTAAAGGATGTAATAGGGGAATGCCAATGGAATTTAGTGACTGAAGCGCTGTGCCTCCCATATTATGATTACGCAGGGAAAAACATCTTGCATGGTTTGCTGGTTGATTTGTTGTTTTTTTAAGAATACGAATCACTAAAGCCATAATCATAGTTTCGACGGCGAGCCAAGAATATGATGGCGAAGGCTTAGCCTAGATGCGGCTATGGAAGCACAAAAGAGGTGACATTATGACCAAGCGGAGAACAAACTAGGGGGGGGGGGGGTATGATAAATGCGATACACCAGTTTTCTAACCACCAATAGTA